CTGTTCAAAAATAACAAGAGAAAAATATGATGAATTATAAGCATTTTTTGCTCAATAATAACAAAAGATAATATGATGAAATGTGGGCAACATTTGCCTCAATAATATCAAGAAAAATTGAGAAAAATAAAATATGAAGATTGTAAAAGAAAATAATAAAAAAATAGAGAAGAAAGCTTCATCAAAGAGTATGCTGTTTTGTGAAGGTGGTGAGATAGGGAGTGATGAACATGAAGAGGAAGAAATAGATAAAAGTACAAGAAGTGAAGAAATGGTGAGATAAGGAATGAAAATGTTGCATATTATGCCATGATCATATAATCGTGTCCACCACGAAGTTGGATATTGAAAGTTTGATAGATACTATATAAAACATAATTACATTGCTCTAGACTTAAGCTCTAAGTGATATCATTTTAAATTTATGTATGCATATATATAATTTTAACAATGTGATATAATAATCTAAGTGCAATTTTATTTTAAGCAAAAAATAGAGGATTTAATATATATATATATATATATATTTTGATAGTATAACTATTTTTTACACTATCGACACATCATCTATGATTCATATGTTAATTATCGTTGATTATCAAACAAAAATAATATAAATCAATAGTAATTATGTGTTGTAAGTGTAAAAAACTTTACACCAAAAGTGTATAGATATTAAACTTAAAAATAAAGTTAAGAAATTTGTGCATTGTTAGGTCTCTCCACCAATAAGTGGTTACATGTTTACATCTTCCATACCTTTATAATTTCCCATTTAATGATCAAACTTTGATTCTTTGTATCCCTGGCTTATTGGCAAATCTGTATATGTATATCTCTTTATGTCTTTGTATGTGCCTTGAAAAGAAAGGCTGTTCCCTCCCAAACAAAGCCTCCATGTTACCGTATACTTTAAGGCATTGCACAAAAAGTAAAAAAAAAACATTATATTTTTTTTGTAGTCAAAATCCTCTAGTATGAAAAATATACAGGAACACTTGTATCATTTTATTTATAATAAGATAATATTTTTACTCTTAAAACTAAAAGCAAAAACAATACTTCTTTCATTGATATAAGATAGGATTCTTACTCATTTTTTGTGATCATATGGAAAAATTCTAGCTATTGATAAAGAAAACTCATCCATGACAAATCAATGTCAATATAGAGGAGCAATTTTGCATCTAATAGTAGTTGCTTTGGTTACAAGCCTACAATTGAAAGGGCTTCCTCTCCTTTATAGATAAACCATTTTATTTGTTTGTCAAACCTTAGAAAAAGGTGAAGTTGCCTTATGCAAATATTACAAGGGCCAGTGATGGAAATTTAGACCTTTTTTTAATAGGTCTGCCCTTGTTCACATCCTCTGTTAAATGAAATGATATTTATATCTTTATTAATTACATTGAAATTACAATTAAAACCTAAAGGAAATATAAATCTTCTCTTGAGAATATTCCCACTCATCCCTTGGGCAATTTGTTGGCCACCTGCTCCCTATATATTCTTGCTTTAACTTCCTTTCACTTTCTTATCAATTTAAACATCCCACGTGAAATGAAACCTCTACTTTGTTGTCATCTTATTTAATTAGGACTTTGTGTGAATCACTCTTTTTTCTCGCTTTAAATGTAGTTTTTAGAGATATATATGATGATAAACATTGATTTGTAAAAGAAAAAAAAAACATAAATGAAGAATAACCTTAACTTAAAAATTGATCAAATTCTATTTATCAATTAAGGTAACTTTCCTCCATCATTTTACAAATCATGGTTTGATATGTCAATAAGATAGGATAAATTTAGATTGAATTACACTTATTATCCATAAGTTTTAGTGGAATTATATAAATTTATCTTATTTTTGTACATACACAAACTACCATTATTTATATACATTTATTGTACTAATTATCAATGCACGAGAATTAAGTGTAATATTTTAAACAAAAAAATAAGTAATAAATTTAAATTTATATACTATATAACAAAATAAAGTCATTATTGTCACATGTCATCTCCTCATCACTATGCATCTTCCCACACTACATCCTCACTTTTTCTACATTTTATTTTTTAACAATTTAAATGTTAATTAATGTTTGGTCCTTATGTTTTGTTTTGTGAAAAGTATCAACTATTTAACATTAGAGGAGATTAAAATCTCTTTTCACATCCAGTCTATTTTTCTTTATGTTTCTTATTCCATTTCTACCCTTACCACTTCGTCTATTCAATACCTCTTTATTTCTCTCATACTCCTACGTTTCGTTTACAGTATTTACTTTGTCATCACCACAAAATATATGTTTTTCTCTTTCTCTTCAAACAATATTTCTCTTTAACAATATTTCCCTTCCAACTATCTTTTTTTTTGTTTACTTTTTCATTGATTTCTTTATTTTTTATTAGTGTTCTTAGTGATTTAATTTCATTATTTTTTAGATATGTTCTTGCAATAGTTCTCTCCATTAGCGTCTGATAAGCAATGGTATCATCCTAAAGGACGACCAAACCTTCAAAACATGTGGTATGTACTCAATCTCATTATATATATATATACATTTAGTTGCAATATTTCATTTGTTTGTTTTTATTATTGATATATTTATTTCGTTCTTAACATTTTCTCTCTTTATTTGTATTTGGTTCTCCCTTCTAACATCTCTACACTTTAGTTTTATCTATGTTAATCTCTTATTTTATTTATACATTTTTTTATACATAGAATCACTAATTTAATTTTTTTGTTTTGCATGTTTCAGAAACACTTGAAGTATATTATACTCTGAAATAAGTTAAGAATCATGGTTATTTATTTACGGTTTTGTGTTTTATTTTTTATTCGATGATTTTAAAAATCTATTGTTTAAAAAATATATTTGTTGCTTATGTTACCACAATCATTTGGGTCATTGAGAATGGTAGAACCAATTGATTAAATGATATTCTCTATTCTTTGACATTTTGGTTATCTTTGACAATTTTTTGGATCGTTTTGTATGATATAATTAAAAATAATAATATGTCATAAATTCTAACTTTTCTTTTTACATCTACATGTACTAAAATAGTTATAAATTCAAACATTTCATTTTTAGCAAATGTGTAGTCAAAATGCTCATGAATTATTTAGTTAACTAATTAAACAAATTTCTCCATTTTTATACTAAATGTAACAAAAATAAAGATATTTCATTTTCAGATATAATTTCTTTATATTATTACAATTGTTCGTAATTCTTAACGTATGTGAATGCATATCACATTAGAGATAACCTTTATTTTGAAAAATTAAGGCATAAATAGTGGTAAATAATGTGTGATATCAATTAATATATTATTTTAGTGGTTGTAATCCAAAAAAGTAATGTGTACTTTATTATGGAAAAAAAATCTAAACATTTAATTACAACATTCTCATTTTAATTTCATTTATTACAATTGTTCATGAATTTAAATAACGTTGATCGCTGATCATTTATTACTATTATTTTTTAACGTTCATACATTTTAATTTCATTTATTACTACTTTAATTGCTGATCAGTTGCAAACTAATAATTACTTTGAATAAATATTGTGTGTTCTTCGAAGAGAAAGTTGACAAATAATGTATAGTAATAATCACTACCTGCAAATTAGTATGTATGCTTTATTTAAAAAAATCTAAAAAATTAATTAAATTGTTCTCATTTTCATTTATTAATATTGTACATATATTTCTATTATTATATTTAAAATATTTTAGCAGTTTTAATCCTAAATAATTAAGGACTTCATTATTTTGAAAAAGAATCGAACTAAGTAATTACAACTATCCTATTTCAATTATCATTTATTACTAAAATTTCATTTCTATATATTAAAATCTTATTTTTGAAGTTTTCATACTAAATGGTTAAACCCATATTTATTTCGAAAAAAATCTAAGTAATAATTACAATGTCCCCTTTTGTATACTTTTAAAAAAAATACTAACTAATAAACCAATTACACAAATAATAAAAAATAATATCCTACAAATAAAAGAAATTATAAACAAGTTACATTAAGAAATAATAACAATAATATAATAAAATTAAAATAAGTTCTACATATGTACGTGTTATATTAAGAATTAGAAATATAAATTTTTATCGTATTTATTATTTACCCAAATATATAAATTATAGAATATGAAAATTAATCAAAAAAAGTACAAAAATATACGGGTAACGTGTATGTTCTTAGTAGTGCGAATGTATGGATAACATGTGTGTTTTTAACCGTGTGATTGTGCACTAATCACATGTGTTCTTAACAATACGAATGCACATATAACATATGTGTTTAACCATGTGAATGCACGAATAACATGCGTTCTTAACCATATAAATGCACATATAATGTGTGTTTTTAATCATAGGACAAAAATATTATCCTGTGCAAATGCATGAGTTACTTACTAGTATTAAAAGAGTCAACGTACTATATTGTAACAAACAAAAAATAATTATAAAATATTGACTCGTATATTATTTGGATTTGTCTCCACGATATAACATATTTTGTTAAACTTGATTACACTTATAACTATATTTTGTTAAACTTGATTACACTTATCATTTTATTTTGTTAAACTTGATTACAGTTATCATTTTATTTTGTTAAGAGAATAATGTATCTTCTGGTATAAGGAGATAATTATCTCCTACAACCACTAAAATCGTGACATGTGTATCATTTAATCATTTTCTACAAAAATATTTTTAAAACAAAACAATACATATGTCATTCTTTTACTAGCTGAATGATGTAAGTTATCTCATAGTATGAGGAAATACTTTATGCTGTTAAACTTATTTACTCTTAGGGTTGTCTCTTTCCGGTCTCATTCAATCCACAATTTAAACTTAGAAATGGACTAGGAAATCTGACGTTGACAAATCCTGATATCACACGTCCTCCAAATGGATATTCCTAGTTTATATACAATATTAATTGGAAAAAAAGGCGTAATAAAATGGGGTGAGAGAGGCTCGAACTCTCGACCTCAGGATAACTCGAATGCTATGAGACCTACGCGCTAGCCAACTGCGCCACCACCCCATGTTGGATACTTCACTTTCTTTTCATTTTAAATACAGTCGTTATATCTGCAAATTCCAAAATATTGTATAACTACCACTATTAAGTAATTTTCATTTTCCTATTTTGTTCTTAATATTTTTTAATTTCTACAAAATAAAAACATGTATTTCTAGATAACCACTACCAACACATTCATAACTTATATCTCCTTAAATTAGACATTATCTCTCCTTTATTGATGGAAGGACAAAAAATATTAGCAATATTAAAGTTTTTGTAGTTTGTTGAATTATCATTTGTTGTAAAATATGATGGAATGTCCTGAAGACATTTAATCAAATATTAACCACAAGGAGTATAATGATAATAGTTTTATTTTATATAAGGCTGAAAATTTGTATATCATTGATTAAATTAGTAATAATTAAGCTCATATCTTAGAAGGATGTAAGTTGTTCATGCCAATAAAAATCATGTATAATATCTATATACTAAATTGAATATAAAATAAAAATAGTGTGAGAATCCCAACAAAATAAACGAGACGGAACCACATTTTATAATTTGGTTTGATTCCATTCACCAGTTTCACATTCCCATCTCTATTTTTCATTTCTTTTTGGGCAAGACACCTTTTCTTCGGTCTTCTTTTTCCACTCACCACGCCATTAGGGTTTCAGTTCCAAACTCCGCTTCAATTTCTTTTCACCAAAATCCTCCATAGTTTCGATTCCACAACTCTCGAAATCAAAATCTATCATATTGAACGATGTCGATATTTGAGTACAATGGTAGTGCCGTCGTTGCAATGGTTGGTAAGAACTGTTACGCCATTGGAAGCGATCGAAGACTCGGTGTTCAGCTTCAAACCGTCGCCACTGATTTCCAGAGGATTTCTAAGATCCACGACAAGCTCTTCATCGGTCTCTCTGGTCTCGCTACCGATTCTCAGACACTCTATCAACGCCTCGTTTTTCGCCACAAGTTGTATCAGCTTCGTGAAGAGAGGGATATGAAACCTGAAACATTTGCTAGCTTAGTCTCTGCTCTTCTCTATGAGAAAAGGTACTTCGATCTCAAAATATTTTAATCTTTCAAAATCAAATTATTCTTTGGAAATTACACTTATATGCTGTCACCTATAATGGAACAGAATCACTTATTTGAGGGATGAGTAAGTAGAAAATATGTTATTTTATTTCCTTTTTAATTTTTTGTTAAATAATTAGAAGTAGAAGTGATTGTAGATCAGATGGAAGGTAGCACAGTAGTTAGAGGTAGAGCCGTAGAGGGAGATCAATAAGAAGTATAGGTGAAACCGGAGGATTTCGATTTAAATGATTTGTCTATAGATATGATTTAAATAGAATATTACGATGTAGTTTGATCTAGGCAGTGCAATTGTTCTTTTTGTTGTAATATATATGAGGGAATGAGAATATTGTATCCAAACAAGGGAATTAGTATCAGTGTGTTGAATGTGTTCTGAATGTATTTATGGTTTAAAAGCCGTGTCCAGGAAGGAATCAATGATATCATTTTTCCAAATACTGATAACAAGGTTACTTGACATTTACTCTGAAATCTTGATGAATGATTGCATTTGTGGCAGTAACGAAATATTATTAGTAATAAATACACTTTTGAGTATCAGAAACGGTAATGACTTGTATTCTGCCTCTGTATGCTCCTGTTATCATACCAGAAGTCAATCTTTCATTTGCTTTCTACTACTTCAAGTGTTAGTCTGATTGTATGACTGTCCCGAGGCTTAGATTAAACTTTACACTGAAGGCTTTCTAACTGAGTGAGGAGATTTGTCATTTGTGGATTTAAAACTGTTGTAACCTTAACAATTTATTGAAGTTCTTAAGCATTGCGCATTGTTGTAGTCTAAATCTGATCTGCTTTCTCTCCATAAGGTGTGGGAATGTGTTACTATATCTAGATATGAAGTGCAAACTCAGGATGACTGCCCAGTTTTCCATGTTTTAAGTGCCAGATTTGGTCAGCTAATTATAAAAACATGAGAGGGCTATTTTTGAAGCAATTGAATGCTTTGTTATTTCAATGTAGTGAGGGAACCAAGAAAAAAATGAGTCTATGAAATAGTTAAACATATTTTGGATGATATGTGTAATTTTATTTTATGTTGTTTCAATAGTCGTTAGCTTAACTCAATACTTTGAAACTGTAAAAACAAAATATACACTCTTCTATTTTTCAGGTTTGGTCCATACTTTTGCCAGCCTGTAATTGCTGGATTAGGAGATGAAGACAAACCATTCATTTGCACTATGGATTCGATTGGAGCAAAGTAAGTAGGACTATTCTGTAATCTGCGTCCCTATGTATTGTAGAGGAAGGTTAGTGTTCAGTGATATGCTTGTGTCATACACATTTGGTTTGGCTCATAATTTTATGTTCGAGTCTTCGAGATATTATGCACATCATTATCTTTTTCATTGGAGGTTGGGTACCCCAAGCATCTGCAAGTCTCAACAATTTTGCTGAACCTCTATCAGATATGTTCTTGCTGTCCCTACTATTCTGAAATCATACATCATTGGGGATTTCAGAAATGTTTTGTTTCTCCTTTTTAAATATGAACTTATAGCCTATGGAATGAAACAAAGTGGCATAGTTGTCGCTGACAGATATTGGTTTCTACAACTAAATATTTGGTGCGATGGATGTTTCATTTCTTTCCCAATTACTAATTTGCTGGAAAAACATTGTTTGCACCATTGAAGTTTGAGATTTATGGAAAATACCTACAAAGGGTTGATAAACTCTGATAGATCAAGGTTTATGCACCACATACCTTAGATGCTGAAAGAATAAGGAAATTTTGACATACTCTCATGTACACCATCGTTGTGTCCTCTAATCTGAAAATTAGCAAGATTTTATTTGTTTTAGTAGTGCACTTTATGCAGGTTTATTCTGGTTTTTTAATTGCTAAAATAATCTGAAATTTTGTATGTCATGTATAAGCTGCATGTCTGTGATAGAAACTGGTTCAGATCAGAGATAAGAACCAAATATTATTGATGGAAATCGCTTTGAATACACTAAATTCTCTAGGTATCCAAAAGACCTAGAACTCTCCCTTTGCCCAAAGGCCCCAACTACTCCTACGTGTCAACAAATGATTAGATGTTCTAACCCTTTTCTTATTTATAGGGAACATCTGTTATTTTTCTAGTTATCACTAGCCCCGAACTAACTAATCAACACTCAGTAACAGTTTCTGACTAACTGGTTAGGGGTTACCTATCAGTCTGATACAAATGTCTTCCCATTTTCTTGTATGGCAGGGAACTTGCGAAAGACTTTGTTGTTGCTGGCACTGCATCGGAGTCTCTTTATGGTGCTTGCGAGTCGATGTTCAAGCCTGACATGGTTAGTAACAAAAAAAATTGCTCTCTTTTAATTGATTTTTTAATTTGTAAATTCATGCAGTCATGTCTGTTTTTGCTTGTCTTTCTAGTGTTTGGTACCAATTAATGAAATAAAACATCTCTATAAATGGACATATTCACAAACTATCAAACCTTAATGTGGGTAGTTCCTTGCTGTACACCCAAAACATCATCCATGTATAATGGACATGATGCTGCAACATAGTTGTACACAAAGCTTTAATCTAAAGTATAGATGAAAGATAAAGAGTGAAATCCTAGGGCGTTAAAGCGTAGTATGTATGACTGATTAGTTAGTGGATTGAACTTGAAGCAGGTTTTACATATTAGTATATGTAGGATATGTGTTGGATTAGAACAGATTCTTTTATTCTCTGTAGCACTAGCAAAAACTCCAATCCAAGTCTTTTAGATTACGTGTAAAGTGTATATGTATCATTTTGTGTTTACTTTGAAGTCATCTTATCATTCAATCAAACAACACCATTAAAACAGCAAGTCGTTTCATATTTTTTTAATGTGGGTGTCGGTTGATGGAGTTTTGATAAATACTTAGTACAGTTTCTTGCATCTGCAGGGCATACATGATGTTAGAAGTTAGTCTGTGAAAACTATTCAGTTAAAAAAAAGCAGCATTAGGTGTGCAATGTTTAATTATGGGGACAGAATTGTTGAATGAAATTAAGATATTCTGTGGCATGGCATGTAGGGTTCAGGGGTTTTAAAAATCCACTAATGGCAGTTTAATTTCTCAATGAGGTTGCTAAGTTCTAACACATTATATTCTCTCTGTTTTTTTTGCTAGGAGTCTTGCAAATTGTCGCCATACAAATTACAATGTAGTGTAGAAAGACTTTTAAAACATGATTTATTCATATTCTTTAAAGAGAAGAAGCTTATTTATGTTCCCTTGTTTATATTTATTTATTATATATGACTCAGGAACCAGAGGAGTTGTTTGAGACCATCTCCCAAGCTCTGCTGTCATCTGTAGATCGTGACTGTTTAAGTGGCTGGGGTGGACATGTCTATCTTGTGTAAGCTTATAAGTTCTCCGTTTTGCTTATTAGTTGCCTATTTTACCAATTCTGGATAAGCAGTAAGCAATCATGTTTCATGTACTTACACATTTACATGCAACTAGTTAACATGACTTTTTTGCCATATCCTAGAAAAAATGACATTGGAAGTGCCATTATGAAAAAAATCCTGAACCTTTGGGGTGCTGTTTTTGTACATAATAATACCTTCCAAAATTCTACGAGTCAGTTTATTTTCCTAATTATTATAGGCTAGACAACTATCAATTTAGTGGTGGTAAAATGAGGATCAAAGTTGGAAGCTTTTGTGGTGCACGGGATACACCTGTTACCAGATGATGTGGCCAAATTAGCTATGATGGAATTCATAGGATAAACTGATAATAAATAAATAAAAGTTTTGGGTGTCAATTTTCATTCTGTAGCTGTATGCTGCATCTGGCTGCCATAATCACTCTGAAAGAAACATCCATAGTACTCTATGTTCTTCCATATTATGATTTATTCTCTTATATTTCCATTTTTATCCCACATTTTGGATGTTGAAGCTTATT